TCCGAACCTGTCGGGCTGCGCGCTCGCCCCCTGGTGGTCATCCGGCAGAGGCCGGCACAGGACCGCCCGGCCGCGAGCTTCACTTCGTTCATTCCTGACGCGCTTGCAGCGTCCTCTCATCCCGATGTGCACCGCCCAGCCAAGTGGGCTCTGCGCGCCAGAAGTGTAGCGCGGCGGACTGAGATGGGCGGTAATGTAAAGAGGCTTAGTAAGAAAAATATAAAATACAGTTACCCTGTGGCGGCTAACCCCTGTATTCTCAACACTCTGGGAGGCCGAGACAGGCAGGCAGATTGCAAGTTTCAGCCAGCCTGGGCTGTTTAGCCGCTTAGTGAGATCTTGTCTCAAAAAAAAAAAAAAAAAAAAAAAAAGAGGCTAGGGATGTAGTTTAGTGCAGAGTCTGAGTTCAATCTTCATGACTGCAAATAAATACATACTTTGTAAATTAAAATATAGCGCCGGGCATGGTGGTGCACGCCTGTAATCCCAGCACCCGCACTTGAGAGGCTAGGCAGAAGGATATTGTGATTTTGAGGCCAGCCTGGGCTACATAATGAGTTCAAGGCTAGCCTGAACTACAAAGCAAGACCCAGTCTCAAAAAAAAAAAAAAAAAAAAAATTGGGCGGGAGATGTAGCTCAGTGTTGCCCCACCTGCCTGGCAAGTGCAAGGTCCTGAGTTTGATCCCTGGTACAAAACAAAACAAACAAACAAACAAAACAACATTATTTCAGCAGGAGTATTGGCACACGCCTCTCTCTCTGTCTCCCCCCCCACACCTCCCTCTCTGTCTCCCCCTGTTCTGAGAATTAGAACCTGGACCTCGTATGTGCTAAGCACATGTTCTACCTTGGGCTTCAACCTCTTCCTTTTTATTTTCTATTTTGAGACAGGATCTCATTGAGCTTCCCAGGCTGGCCTAGACTGAAAAGGGCTGGGGATGTAACTCAGAGGCAGAATTCTTTTCTTTTCTTTGGTACTAGGGATCGAACTCAGGACCTTGCATTTACCAGGCAGGTGTGGCACCACTGAGCTAAATCCCTGGCCCAGAATTCTTTTCTAACATGTATGAAACTGTGGATTCAAGCCCAGGGGGCACTAAATAAATAAATATTAAAGAAATCAGAGGTGTGTCATCTGGCAGGGACATCTGTCCCTCATCTGCCCCAGGATGATCATTCTGAGAACTCATGTGATGGTTCTCAGAGTGATTGGAGCCCATGCCAAGAAGGGTCCTTCCGGCCCTTGGTATCATTCTCAGACCCTGGTCAGCCGTTGTCATGCCTCGAGACTCATTAAGAGGGGCAAGAAGGACTGGAGATTTGGCTCAGTGGTTCCGCCACCTGCCTTGAAAGCACAAGGACCTGAGTTCCATCCCCAGTACCAAAAAAAAAAAAAAAAAAAGAGGTGCTTGGAGCCAGCCAAACTTCTGGGAACTGACTTCTACTGATTTAAATCTGACAAGCAAATGTATATTAAAATCACTAATTTATTAATTACTAATGTTCAGGGTTACTTTTTGTAGAACAGTATTTTCTCATGGGTGGCTGAAGAGGTTGAGGCAGGAGGATCACTTTGAGTTCAAGGCCCAGTAAGACCCTGTCTCAAAAAAAAATTTTTAACTAAAAGAACAGGACTGAGGATGTCACAGGAGGGCTGCTTTCTGTGACCACGGCCTCTTCCATGGTTCTTGTGTTTAGGTAGTACGTGATGGGGAGCCTGAGGCAGCAGGATTGTTTGAGCCCAGGAGCTTGAGACTAGCCTGGGTAACACAGGGTAATGCCATCTCAAAACAAACAAACAAAAAGCTGCTACAAAAGGGACCTGCCTTTTCTCCTTTGGATGAAGCCTTGTCAGGATGTGAGGCTAGGAGCCTGTGTCTGTGGAGCTAAGGCACCAGGTGAGCTGTCCCTCTGCCACCCGCAGCCACAGCACCCCAGCCCCTTGGCAAGCACAGTAAGAAGGCCTGGCCTTGAGACCTGTCCTGGCCTCGTGTCCTGCCTGTCCCCTCTCCCTCTCTTCTGCTCTGACTGAGTTGTCATGCCCCTCCTCTCATGCCCCTCTGCTCCCCTTCTGCAGAGGTTGGGAAGGGATCCAGACCCATTATCCTCCTGAGCTCCCTGGGCTCATCCCAGTGAGCCAGGATGAACACAGCAAGCCCTCCCAGAGAACTTTTGGTTTTAGCCCCACTGTTTGCCATGGAAAAATAAGGGTTGTCTGTCTCAGACCTCTGCAACCCCTCCAGGAAGTGTCTGCCCTGACCCCAAGCGGGCTTCAATTTGAACTGAGTGATAGAATTGAATTTGGGCCAATCAGCATGCCGGATTCAAAAGGTTGGAGGGTTAGAGCAGTATGGATCGATTAACAGGATTGGATTTGGAGATATCAGCAGCCTCAAATGTGGGCCAATCACAAACCTGCTAGTGCTATATAAGCAGCCTCTTTCTGAGCTCTGTTGGTCTTCTGGGGTTCTGCCTGGCCTTCCCTTCTTCCTGTGCTGTGGCTCGGCTTCAGTTCCAAATCAACCTCATTTCAGAGACCTGTAAAGCTGCTTGGGGTTTATCACTTGGGTAGTGTGAGCTCAGAAGGTGCTGTAAATCTACTTGGGATTCCTATCCTAAGTAATGCAGACAGAAAAGTGTTTAAAAAGCACAGCTGAAAACACTAGGGCTGTTATCCCTGAAAAGCGCCAGTGAGCAGCAGCCAGCCGAGATCAGTGTCATGGGAGGTCACCCAGCATTCAGGGAGTGGCGGGGCCAGAGAGTGGCTGGACAGGGTGCAATGCCAGCTGGCGTCAGCTGGTGACATCGTGGCGCAGAGCTTACAGCTCAGGGCCGAGGCCACTGCACTCAGAGCCAGGGCCTCTGGCAGAGCCACTCTGTGTCAATTTGTGATTTCTACCCCAGTGCAGCCAAGGAAACTATGCTTGGCAGCAGCCGCAGACAAAGTGAGGTCATCTTCCACCTGAGGCTCAGGGCCAGCACATTCAGAGTTGGGTGAAGTTCTTAGGGTTGCCGTTGTTGTTGTGTGTTTTCGGTACTGGGGATCAAACACGGGACCTTGCACTTGTGAGGCAGGTGTGGTGAGCTAAATCCGTGGCCTGGTTTTTTTTTTAGATATATAATTGTTTAAATTTAAGTATTTAGAGTCAGGGTCTCTCTCTGTAGTCCAAGCCTGCCTCAAACTCAGATGTGGCCTCAGACAGCTTTGAACTCACAATCTTCCTGTCTCAGCCTCCCAACTGCTGAAATTCTAGGCATGTGCCACCATGTGCACAAAAGTGGGTAACCAAAAAAAAATTTTTTTTTGGTAGCAGGGATCAAATTCAGGACCTTATGCTTGCCAGGCAGGTGGCAGCACCACTGAGTTAAAACCCCGGCCCCATTTCAGGCACTTTTTTTTTGGTATATTTGTTTTGTTTTGAGACAGGGTCTCACTATGTAGTTCAGACGGCCCTGGAATTCACTATGTAGCCCAGGCTGGTCTTGAACTCGTAGCGATCTTCCTGCCTCGGCCTCCGGAGTGCTGGGATTACAAGTGTGCAGCACCACACCCATCTGTTTTAGGCATTAGGGGTACAGTTCAATGGCGTTACTTTCTTGTGTAGCCATCACTCTCCAGAAGTGTTTCATCTTCCAGCTGAGACTCTTCTGCCCACTGAACAGCACCTCCTCACCCCTGCCCCTCACAACCAGCCTTTTGACTTCCTGTCTCTGTGACTCTGACTAGGAACTTCCTGTGAATGGAGTCTCTGTGACTGGCTTATTCCACTCAGCACAATGTTCTCAACATTCATCCATGGTGTACTATTGTACTATTGTGGTGATGGGCCACTGGACAGGCGTCAGTGGCCTCCTCCTCTAGCATTTTGGCTGCCCCTGGCTCCATCTCTGTACCCCAGGCAGTGGGGGCCACCTCCCTGGGGATCCTGGGACCTGGCAGGGTGTGGACCCCAGCTGGCTGGACTCCAATATACCACCGTGAAATCTTGTCCTACACACATGCACACACTGTAGGGCCTCCTGAGGATCTGGGAATCTTTGTTTGAAAGAGTGTCAGCCTGAAGCCCCTGGGAGGGGTCTAGGGAGAGCATCTGGACAGAATCCAGCATATGCTGCCAGGCACTCTGACGAGGTGTTCCTCAAAGAACAAGGGACACAGCTAACGTCCAGGGCAGTTCAAAGTCACATGATGGGAGGTCCGGGACCCTTCTCATGAATTGCTCTGAGGTGCTGGCCCAGCTCAAGTGCCCGATGGCATGGAAGCTGCCAGATTCAGAGTGGGGGGCACAGTGATGATTCCTGGGCACGGGGGAGGTCGCCCCAACTGCCAGCACTTTCAGACATATTTGGGCCATGCAGTCCTGAGCCCGTGTGCCTCAGCCAGAGGCCATAGGGATAGCCGCCCAAATCTGTGTCCCAGCAGCACCCGTGGGAGAAGGAAGGGTGGAGGCTGGGGGCCTGAGGGACCACGCACAGCTCAGGCTGCCATGTCCCTGGCCGGAGGGTGCCAGGCAGAGCCATGGGTACCCCTGCCCCGCTGCTTTGGGGGTTGTCAGACACTTCTGCTGCATGACCCAGTTTCCCAGTGGCCCTGTGGGGACCAAATCCTACCTCCTACTCCTCACCAGCACCTGGCACAGACAGTGGATGGCCAAGGTGTCAGCCCCAAGCGTGACTGCTACCAGTACCTCTCATGACAGCCCTAGGGCTTCCCCTTGCCCCATGGGTGCCCCCACTCTGCTTGCAGTGACCCTGGGCTGCAGCTTTCCCAGAGCAGGGGGCAGTGACCAGGACCCTGTGGGTGGGGCAGTGAGATGGGGCCCTGTGGGGTATAGCTGGAGCCTGCGTGGGCATCTCAGGGCCATGTGCCTGGGAGGACACCACACTAGGACTGCAGGCCCCATGCCCACCCAGACTGGGCTCCAGGTGGTGTCCTCCAGATTGCTGACCCCAGGGCGGGTGACCAGGGGGTGCTGAGTGCAGATGCCCACACTGCTCATCTACCAGGGCCCGGCCACCCTGGGCACGGACTGCATCTTTATTAATCAGAGTGGAGCTCCACGCAGGGAGCCAGTGCTGGCTTCCATGTGGCTGGGCCAGGTGCCAGGGGCTGCAGAGGGGCTCAGTGGCTGGGCCAGAGGAGGGTGAAGGCCCCACGTGTGCAGCGGAAGTCCGGTTCTGGCTGCTCTGGCCTGGGCTCCACAGACACGAGGCGCCGGGCTCCACGCTGGCTCAGTGGGATGCAGTCAGAGACGCGCACCTCCAGTGCTTGCCCCTCCCTGCAGCAGGAGCAGCAGGGGTCAGGTGGGCAGGGGTCTGGGTGGGTGGTGGGGCTCCCTGAGCCACATTCCCACGCGCCAGGCTCACCCCTGACAGTGTGCGGCCAGCACGCCCACCAGCTCCCCGATGCGGTTGTCCAGTGGTGGCTGGGAGCGGTGCAGACACACCACGAGATCGTCCTGGCCCCGGGCATGCAGCACCAGCAGCTGGTCCCGTCCACTGGTTACACTCAGCCCAGTCACCTGAGCACAGAGCAGAGTCACATGCTGTATACCCATCCAGTAAGCCTCTCCCCACCTTCACCCCCATTGTAATCCCAGCACTTGGGAGGCTGAGGCAGGAGGATTGCCACATGTTTGAGCCCAGCAAGGGTTACATAATGAGGTCAAGACCAGCCTGTCAGAAAAGGCAGGGGAGGGCCAGGGATTTAGCTCAATGTTTCTGCCACCTGTCTTGCAAGCACAAGGACCCAAGTTCAATCCCTGGTACCAAAAAGGAAAGAAAAAGAAAAGGCAGGGGAGCTGGGCAGGACCTCGTGGAATAGAAGCTTCTGCCATGACAGAACATTCTAGAACCTTCTGTGGGTCAAGGCACCAATGCTTTCACCTATGGCTAATGATGCACTTGTTTGTGCTGCTGAGAAGCTGAAGTGATTTTTTTGTGTCTGTTTTTGACCTGCAGATTGAACTCAGGGCCTTCACACTGAGCTATATCCCCAGGAACCCCTCCACACACCTTTTTTTTTTTAGACAGATTCTTGCTAAGTTGCCAGGGCTGACCTCGAACTTATGATCCTCCTGCATCAGACTCCAGAGTGCTGGGATACAGGTGAGCACCAGCACGTCCAGCTGAGGAGCTGAGTCTTTAGTTTTCTTTCACTTTAATCACATCTCAGTAGCCACACTGGCACTTGGCTACTGCCTCTGACGGGCCCTGCTCTGACAGTCACAAGACCCCAAAGTGGGGGACACCTGAGGAGACCCTGCCCAAGCTGCTTCTTGCTGTTCTGGGAAGGAGAATTATGGGATCAAAGAGGCCACAAGCCAGGCAGGAGTGGGCCCAACCTCCCTCAGGAGGTGGTGGGGGATGTGGAGGGGCTCTGGTAGGTCCAGCAGGGACCGCAGACCCTGCTTGCACAGAGAGGGTTCATTCGGCTGGGGGTGGGGCACGGTAGCTGTGCCAGTGGGGCTGGGGGCCCAGACCCTGCACCCTATGAGCAGTGGAAGCCAGAGCAGGCTTGGCAGAGGATCTGCTGGGGCCCAGGTGTTAGTGGGCAGTGGGGAGGCTGAGACAGCACTGCCAGCTCGGGGCCCCTCCCTGGAGCTCACCGCATCCAGGGGCACAGATCGCATCACCCGGTACTGCCGCCCAGGGTCCAGCTTGTAGAGGTGCCGGTCAGTGAGCAGGAGGGCCCGGTCCCGGCTCTTGCGGAAGCAATTCACCTGCAGGAGGGGTGATGGCTGGGCTGGAGGGGCCCAGCCCATCGAGGGCCTGCCCTACCAATCTGCTGGACTGAGCGTTTCTGGGTCTCAGGAGCAGCTGGCCTGGGATGGGGGCTTCTCATGCCTCTCTGATCACACCTGACCCGTGCCCTTCACAATCCCAGACCGGGCCTAACCTTGCGGACGTGACTGGAAAAGAGCACGGCCCCAAAGCCGTCCTTATCCCGCAGCGTCTTCAGTCGCTCAGCAAACAGGCCGGAGGCTGCAGGGTTGTCGGTGCCCTGAGGACAGAGGGTGGCGGAGCTGCCTGGGGTCTAGAGTCACACTCCACTGATGGCAGCAGATCACCACCACTATCCTTCACCTTGGGAAACTGAGTCACGGCCACGCCCATGAACTGGGGCCAAGGGCACCGTGTGACATTCAGGGCCATTGAGGACATTGCTGCCCCTCTGCCTGCCTGGCTGAGCCCTCTCCATGAAGCTCCAGAGAGACCCCCGGGTTAGGGAAACCCTGAACCCTCAAGGTGAAACCCTAGGGAGACAGGGTGGGCTGCGAGATGCCGGCACCATGCCACCCCAGTCCCCGGCCCGTGCTACACTCACAGAGGATAGGTAGTCCCGGGCCCAGGCCCGCTGGCAGCCCCAGTCCTGACGCAGACCCTGCAGCGCCCCCATGGCCGCCACCTTGGCCTTGATCTGAGCCATGTCCGAGGGCGGAATGTTCTTCACCAGCTGTCGGGCCCGCCACCTGGGGAGGGTGAGTCAGAGGACAGAGCCGTCCCCATCCAGGCTGGCTGCCCTGTGGGCCCTAGCTTCTCTCAGCCTTTGGTCTCCGCCCCTTGCACCTGATGTTTGTCCCTGGGAGGTGGCCCAGGCCCTTCCACTCTAAGCACACTTGCTCTGTGCCCGTCCTCTTGGAGAACTTCTACTCATCCTTCAGTGCCCTGTTCAGATGCAGAGTACACCACCGCCCAGCCTCGATGAGCCATCTTCCCCCTGCTGGCCATGGCCCTGGACTTTGAAGGCCATCACAGTGCTGGGATAGTCAGTCTCTGCCACCAACCCTAGGCTGTGACAGCCCCCTCATGCAGCCCAGTCTGTCTTCCTGCTCACTGAGGGCACAGGTGTGTTGGGTCTGGATGTTCCCGGGGTGCCGCGCAGAGGGCCTACCTGCAGAAGAGCGCCTGACAGGTGTCCTGGAAGGGCTGCAGCACAGCAGGAGGGGGTGGCCACTCCAGGTCTCGGCCATAGAGTGGGGGCTGCCGTGCGGCCTGGAACCGCTGCTGCAGCTCGGCCAGGTGAGCGCGGACCTTGTGCCTCCGGAACTGGAGGGGGTGGCCACTCCAGGTCTCGGCCATAGAGTGGGGGCTGCCGTGCGGCCTGGAACCGCTGCTGCAGCTCGGCCAGGTGAGCGCGGACCTTGTGCCTCCGGAACCAGCGCATGATGGTGTAGACAGCCCGCAGCCGCCGGCAGTGCCACCTGGCCAGGGTGCCCCGCCATGCCTGGGTGGCCCGGCGGAATGGGATGTCATCAGGCCCAGCCCTGACTACACCTGTCCCCACCCCGGCCCCGGCCCTGAGTGTCTCAGGGAGGCTGACCCAGCGCCTGGCCCCCAGGAGCTCTGCCCAGTGGGGACACTGGCCAGTTGGACCTGTCCAGCCCTGCACAAGGCCCCGCACAGCCAGGAAGGAGCAGCTGGCCTGTGCCAGGCTTGCAAGGCTAGAGCATGGCACCGCAGGGGCTCCAGGTCCTGCAGGAAGAGAACTTATATGGAAAGTGGGGTGGGAGCAGGTGGAGGTGCTTTCTGACCTGTGAGGACACCTACCATTCTGGGGTGACCCCAAAACAGAGGGTCACCCCCAGAATGCGGCTGTTAGAGCCAGACTGGACACCCCAAGAAGCAGACTTGAGTAATATACTGTCCTGGCAGCATAGGACCCTGATTCGGGGACACCATCGGAGCCTGCGGGGCACCCTGTGGACACCCTTCCCTGGACCAAGTGTCCCCCACCCCACACCTTCTGCAGCAGCAGCACGATGATGGGGATGAGGCGGGCCCGGCTCTGCTCCAGTGTGACCAGTGTGCGGGGTGAGCGGATGAACAGCTTGTTGTGGCCGAAGGCCACATCACCCTGCAGCCCGTGCTGCTCCAGCAGGGCGCCCACGGCCGCCCTGTCGGAGTCCAGCAGGTGGTTGGGCCAGGTGTATTCACAGGTCATCTTGTACCTGTGGCCACAGGAGAGGGTGGTGGGAACTGGGCCCAGGGAGGGGTGCAGAGCGGAGGTCCTGGGGCAGGAGTCCTCCCAGGTGTCCCTGGAACCCTGTGGCACCTGTGGGCGTGCCCTCCCCAGTGTGTCCTCTCACACCTGTCCCGTGAGCTCAGACCCACCCACATCTCCCACATAGCATTGCGCTAGGCCCAGAAGGTGAACCACGCCAGTTCCTGTACCTGAGCAGGAATCGAGGGTAAGGCTGGCGGGAGGCGAAGCCCGCCCTGCGAACCCGCACGTTCTCCAGGAGCCCCAGGTACGCCACCTGGTGGCGACAGTGGTTCTCATCCAGCATCCCAGGCATCTTGTCCTCGTTGGGCTTGATGCAACGGACATAGAAGGGCTCCTGCAGGGACAGGGGACATAGGGGTCCAGCCAATGACCATTGTGTGTTCCCCCCAAGAACAAGTGTCCCTGAGAGCCAAGAGCCCAGGCAAGGAGAAGAGTTGGGGAAATCACATAAGAGCAGCCAGTCAGGAGCAGGGCGTGAGGGGGCGGGGCAATGACTAGCCCCACCCCTTCCTCGCTCCTTCCAGCTGGCTGTTCTACACCAGCCCTACCTTGATTTCCACAGATTTGGGGCCTGGTCCCCAAGAAAGCTAGTGCCAGTTTCCTGTCTCGATGGCCTCAGGCCCCTCGTGGGGTCTCCCAGCTCCTCTGCGCAAGAGGCAGTGGGAGGAGGGGAGGGGCGGGTTCGAATCCCACAGGCGGCTCTATGCCCGCCCCGGAGCCCCACATCGGAGCTCTGCACGGGGCAGACTCGGCACGAGCACACCTGGTACAGAGCAGGCTCTGGAAGGTGCAGGATGGGGGGGGCTGGGTACCTTGGAGGCCAAATTCTCCACCAGAGCCACCATGGAGTTCTTGAATATCGTGCCCGCTGTCAGGGGCCGCTTAGTCACCTCCGTGATGTCCTGTTGCCCGTCCGGCCACATGGCGCGCAGGGTGGGGTCTGAGCTGCACACAGAGGCCTGGGGCTGGTGCCCACCACCCAGCGTGGAGCTGGCCGCCCCCTGCCCCACACACCCAGCGGCCATGCTCACCTGTTGTACAGCAGCCGCTTGAAGTCCTGGAAGAGGAAGTCCCGGTTCTTGTCGATGAAGCCCTCCACCGAGTACCTGCCGGGGCCAGCGTGCTGAGGGAACAGGCCTGGAGACATCCACTCCTCCCACCTGTTTCCTTCCTCAGGCCAGGCTGCCCTGAGCGCTTCTCGCTCTCCTCACGTCTGCCTTCTCTTTCATCATCTAAGACTCTCCTTCAGAAGTTTCTCTACTGGAAGACGAATCCAGAGGCCAGACTCCTTGTCCCAGCCCTGAATCACACTTCTACCCGGTGGGCGATGTGTGACCTTGCTCCAGCCGCCCAACCTCTCTGTGCCTCGCTGGATACCAGATGCTTGAACAGGACCTACTGTGATTATGTAAATATCAGCAATTATAATTATGAGCCGGGCTCTGTTTAGTCTTGGGACACGGGTGGCTCAGTATGACCTCCTTGGACCACTAGAGGGCGCACTGCCGAGTCCTGTCCCGTCACGCAGCTAGGCCCGGAGGGGAGCTTGTGCCCCTCCGCCAGCCCTGCAGAGCTCCGGCTTCTTTAAAGGATGCCCAGAATGCAGCCAGAGGTGTGAACCGCTGTCCTCAGAAAACCGTGTCCTGCCAGGCATGGTGGTGCATGTCTACATCCCAGCACTTTGGGAGATTGAGGCAGGAGGATCACAGATTTGATCAGTTTGGGCAACTTAGTGACTTAATGAGGCTCTGTCTCAAAAAAAAAAAAAAAATTTAAATCTAGGAAGGTAGCTCAGTGCAAAAGCCCTGAGTTCAACCCCGAGAAGTGCTAACAAACAAAACCAAAAAGCAAGTCCTGCCCTGTTCCTGTGCTGAGTGAAGACCACATTTCAGAGTTTTCCAAGGCAGGGGTTCTGGCTGTTCTGGGGACCCAGGCAGTGGGTCCCGCCACCTGGGTGCCTTACGTGACATCGCCCGCGTAGTGCTTGATCCGGAAATCTCGGCCAAACTCCATGGTCTTGTCAGTGGGGCAGAGCTGTGGGACAGAAGGGGTGGTGAGGGGCCCCCCAGCCACCCTGCCTGGACAGAGGAGGCTGCCGCGGTGGTCACAGTGGCCGCAAACTGGGTTCCTTTTAGGTCCCGTGCGGCACGGGTACGGTGGCCCTCTGGGCGTGCGCCACCACCTCTGTGCCCGCCTAGGACGCCCGGGGCACCTGGCGGCTGGAGTAGTGCGGGTGGTGGCGGTGGTGCGCATCCAGTGTCTGCAGGAAGATGCGGTCGGTGATGGTGCCCGCGGCGCTGCAGGCCTCATCCAGCACAGCCAGGATGCCCCGGTGAGGCCGCTCTACCAGCTCCACGATGGTGGCATTATTAAAGTACTCGACCTGCCAGGGAAGCCGGCAGACAGCTCCAGAGCCCCATCCTCCATCCCTTGCCCGTGCACCCGGCCCAGGCCCCGCCGCGGCGCCGGCGCTCACGCTCTGCCAGGCAATGCCCTCGCGCTCGTACTCCTCCTGCTCCTGCTTCAGGATGAGCTGGATGAAGAGCTGCTGCAGCTTCTCGTTGCAGTAGTTGATGCAGAACTGCTCGAAGCTGGGGAGGAGCCCGGGGCCTTCATGGGGCTCCTGTTCCTCCTTCCCGGAAGAAGGTGCATCCCCCATCTCTCCTCTGCCACCCCACCCGCGGAGCGCACATTCTGGAATGGGCGTGGCCAGGAGAAGTGAGCCCCAAATGTTGGCTTCGCAGGGACTCCCTGGGCCAGGGCGTGAGCCTAGGGCAGGTCCCCGAGGCTCCCGGCTTCCAGCTCCGCCTAGCTCCCCCGCTGCCAAGGTGGCCACAGTGGGCAGGGTCCGAGGTGGGGATGTGGGTGACTGGCTGCCCACCTATTGACAGGGAACACCTCAAAGCCATAGATGTCCAGCACGCCGATGACGGTGTCCTTGCCATCCCGCCGAGGGTCGCGGCCCCGGGCCTCCATGATGCTGTTGATCCTGTCTACCACCCACTCGAACAGCCGCTGGTACACAGCCTGGGGGCACAGCACGCCTGCCTGCTGCCTGGCCTGGCCCTGCAGAGGGCACCGGGCCTCTCCCTTCCTGCCTCCCCTCGGGTACCTTGGCACAGGCGTCCCGGGCATAGCTGGCCTCGGCCACTGTGTGGCCCTTCTCTATGAGGTCGCGGCCTCCTGAGGCCACAGTGCGGGCCAGCAGGGAGCGGAGCACGAGGTCGCGGGGCGTGGCTGTCAGCTCGGCCACGTGGTCCACCAGTGCCTCCTCCGCTACTGCCAGGCCACCCTTCCTCTGCCCATCATCCTCCATCTCCACAAACTCGATGTTTCCCTGGGGACGGGGGATGTGAACAAGCATGCATGCTCCGCAGGATGGGAAGCTAGGGCCCCCCAGCCCTCAGCCAGGCTCACCAGGTGCAGTATGGCAGCCAGGATGTGGTGCACTGCCGCCACCTCCACGGGCTGGAAACCGATGACCCTCATGGCCTCCATCACTGCCCGGTAGCTATTCTCATCACTCTCCAAGGCCTGGGGGGGCAGGACTTCACCACCCGGGCCAGCACCCAGGGCCCAGGGCTTCCTGTTCCCCCACCCAGAGTGCGGGACCCAGCCCGATGGGGCCCCTGGCACTCACGTTCTGTGCCCCTGAGCTGAGCCCGGCTCCCTGGCGTGTGAAATTGTACAGGGCCGGGTTTCTCTCCAGATGCAGGCTGTGCAGCTCCTGGTCCTCACAGCCCCTGAGCAGCTGGAGGAGACGGAGGCAACTTTGTCAGGCCTCTTGGCCCTGTGGTGTGGCACAGTGTGGGCATGTCCTGTGTGCTGGGCAGTGCCACCTCAGTGTCCCTAGAAGCCTCCCCTTTCCGGGGCTGCCTTGATTCCCCTTTGGTGTGTGGGGTGAGGGTGATGGTCGGTGACAGGTGGAGTGAGCAGGAGACTGTATATTTGTTTTGTTTTTTCAGGACTGAGGATGGAACCCAGGGCCTTTGCACGGCACTACACCCTCAATCACCTCCATCCCCTTTTAACATTTTTTTAATATTTTGAGACAGAGTCTCACTAAGTTGCTAAATTGCCCAGGCTGGGTTTGTACTTGCAGTCCTCCTGCCTCGGCCTCCTAGAGTGCTGGGATGACAGGCGTGCACCACCACGCCCAGAAAGATTGGGATATTGAGGGACAGATGGAAGGTGGGCTTCCTTCCTCCCTTCCCCCCTCTCATCATCCCCTCTGCCCTTTTCCACACCACCCCCAGCTCACCTGGTAGAATGCGTGGAAATTCCTTTCACCCACGTGCTGCTTGAGCACCCTGGACTGGGGAGAGAGGCTCCCTGTCTGAGTGTTCCCAGGTGCAGGGCCACCTGGGGGTTGGGGAGCCCGGGGCCATGGGAGCCCAGGAAGGGACCCCAGGGACGGCCAACTTTCTTGGTGGTGTCAGGCAGGTCTCAGCAAGGGTCGCTGGCCTGGCTCTCGGCCTTGCCCACCTTCTCCAGCAGGTAGCTGTGGATGTGTCCTCCGACCGGGTCCCCTTTGAAGTCGAAGTTGATGTCCATGTACTTGCCGAAGCGGCTGGAGTTGTGGTTGCGGTTGGTGCGGGCGTTGCCAAAGGCCTCCAGCACACAGGTGGATTTGAGCAGCACGTCCTTCACCCTGCACACAGAGGGGCACGGCTGCAGTAAGGAACTCCTGGTGATCTTCCTGCCTCAGCCTCCTGAGTGCTGGAATTACAGGCATGCACTGCCTTCCTCGCCTGGCTCTCGTGGGGATTTTCTGCATCTCTCTGTTGTCACCTGTCTGCAGTGCTGCCCCTTCTGTTGGTCCAGTTTCACCTCATCTGAGGAGATACATGGTCTCCCTGGACTTTCCGGTCCATCCTCAGCCTGCAGGGCCTGCACCTGCCCTTCCCCAGCACTGGGCCAGCACTCACCTCTCCACCTCAGCCCTCTGGCTGGGGTTGGTGACGGCCGCAATGTACTGCATGATGTGCTTGCTGGCTTCTGTCTTCCCTGCCCCACTCTCTCCTGACAGGAGAATGGGAGATGGATACTGGGTAACTGGGGAGGCCGAGCCCCTTCAGCACTGCTCCCCACCCTGCCTGCTCCCCCAGTACCCTCCTCTGCACAGCCCGCAGCAGGCGCAGGCACCTGAGATGACGATGCAGGTGTCCCTGGCCCTGCGCTTCATGGCCCTGTAGGCAGCGTTGGCCACGGCATAGAGGTGGGGTGGCCTCTCGTAGAGCTCTCGGCCCTGGTACTTGGCGATGGCTTCGGGCCCGTACAGGGGCAGCTGCTTGTAGGGGTTCACGGACACCAGCACCTCGCCGATGTAGGTGTAGATGAGGCCCTTCTCAAACCTGGGCACAGGGGGCGTGGCCTCAGCACCCCAGGGCATGGGCGACCCTCACAGAGAGGTCTCAGGTGGTCGGTGCCCCCCAAGAAACGCTGGGGTAGAGGGGAAGGGTTTCCCTGGTGCCACCTTCAGCAAGCTGAGTCACTCAGAGCTATCTCTGCCAAGCATGGAGCAAGGGCCACGTGGCTGTCTGCGGGCACATCAGTCAGGACCACGTGTGGCCCAGAGGGGAGACGAACAAGGTGCTCAGTGGGTGACAGTCAGGAGAGGGGCTCCAGCAAAAGCGGTGATGGCTGCTTCCTGTGGGGAGGCCTGGGCGGGAACAGAGACGGAAGGGGACCCGCCCTGCCCCACCCGGCTGCAGGGCGGTGTAGGAGTGACAGGGCCACCCTTGCAGTCCTGTCCCGGTCCGAGTCTCCTGACTTCCCACTCCTTCCCCTCGCAGACCGTGGGAGGCTGACTGCCTCTCTGGCTTTCTGCCGCCCGCCCCGGGTCCCTGGGCTGTGGGACCCGCCCTTCTCAGGCAGCCCTGACCCGTCCTGGTTCCTCTTCCTCTGCTGTCTCTGACAGAGGCTCTAACCCTCCTGCATGCTGTATGGCATAAATTGGAGGCCAGCCTGGGCTACATAATGAGACCCTGTCTCAAAAACAAAACATGCTGACCTGTTTCCTGGCCACCCTATCCTGGGTCAGACCACAGGCTCAGCTCTTAACTTCATGGTTACCGGGGCTCTTGGTCCCTCAGCTGGCCCCAGGGAGGGCCCAGCACACCTGTCTGCCCATGCCCCAGTGCCCAGACTCCTTCCTGCCTGCCATCTGCGTTCCTCAGTGGTACTGTGAGCTCCAGCATCACTTCTACTAGCCATATCCTGCAACCCTCAGGACCTCCCAGAGCCAGGGTTCATCTCAGTCTGAGGACCTAGGACAGAGCCCGCCTGCTTTGTCTGGTGGTCCCTGAGACCCAGGCTGGCTCCACGAGTACCCTGGGTTCCTTTCTGTCTCTGGGACAGGGTTTGGGGGCACAGCCCCGGGTGGTCTCTCTGGTCTGCTGAGGTAAGGGCGGGGTCACAGCCAGGGCAGAGGCAGTCACTTTCCTGCAGCCACTGTGTCCATGTTTTGGGTGCTCAGGTCAGCCTTTGAGGTGGGTGAGCCTGTGCTGCTGCCCCTTTCCTGGCGATGGGACCCATGTGCTGTGCCTGGTTCCCTGGGTCTGTGAGGAGTGGGCAGAGGAAGAGGGAGCCTGGCGTCCCCACCCTGTCTACCTGAGCCGCAGGTTCCTCATGAAGTCCTCCATGGTCACCTGGTCCAAGAGCACGAAGTCAGGCTTGCCACACTCGGGACCTTCGTGGTCCTCCATCCTGCCGGCAGGAAACACCCAGGCCGGGGCGCCCAACCTTTGTGTGCAGGAGTCAGAGGGGAGGGAGTCAGGGAGGCCCGGCCCCTGCCAGGCTCAGCAGCAGCGGACGTAAAGTAGGAAGTGGGTTTGAGCCCTGCCCACTCGCCGGTGCTCTTACAGGGGTGCTCCCAGCTGCTTTCTGCACCCACACCCGTACCCACTGGAGCCTGAGCCCCAGGTCCTCCCAGCCTTCCAGAGGAGAAGACCTGGGGGCTTGTGTCCCACCCTGACTGCTCGTGGGAGTCAACTATGGAGCTTGAAAGATTTCTAGACATGGTCTTGGTTACCCAGCTATATGGGCAGCTGTCTGACCTCAGATTTGAACAGTAGATGAATTTTATTTTATGTATTGTACTTTAACACAAACATGAAAAAGGAGCTGGATGTGGTTTCATATGCCAGTGATTCTGGCACTTGGGAGGCTGAGGCAGGAGGATCACTGGGAGTTATGGGCCAGCCTGGGCTACACAGTGAGTTCAAGACCAGCCTGAATGACAGTGGGAGACCCTGTCGAAAAAGAAAAGAGAAAGAGTGCTGATGACCAGGGATCTGGGTGGGAGCTGGGCATGGGGACTGGCCACTCTGTACTTCCCCAGCCCAGCAGCCAGAGAGGACCCTCAAGACTGCTGTGCCCACCCTGTACACCGCTCTGTCCCTCCACCCTCATGGACAGTAGCGTGGGTGTGTAGATGCAGCAGGTTTTAGGAACTGTCTCCAGTCCGCTCCCGAGCACTGCCTTCCAGGGAGTGGGGGCAGTTCCCACTTCTCCTCACTCAGAGGCCAGAGGGTGGATGCCAGGGTCCCAAGCCCATGTCATCCCTGTGTCACCTGGAGATTTGTATCTAACACTTGTTTAACAATCATTTCACTTGTTAGACCTTCAATTGATGACACAATTATTTTTTTGTTTCGCAAATGCCCAACAGTGAACACACACCTAATAAATTCTGCGTGTTGGGGTCGGGGATTTAGCTCAGTGGTTCTGCTGCCTACCTTGCAAGCGCAAGGACCCGAGTTTGATCCCCAGTACCAAAA